AGTGATGATGACAGTGATGGTGAAAGTAATGGTGACAGTGATAGTGTCAGTGGAGGACAGTGATGGTGAAAGTAATGGTGACAGGATGGTGCCGGAAAGTGATGGCTACAGTAATGGTGACAGTGATGGTGAAAGTAATGGTGACAGTGATGGTGACAGTGATGATGACAGTGATGGTGACAGTGACAGTGATGGTGACAGTGATGGTGAGAGTAATGGTGACAGTGATAGTGACAGTGATGGTGACAGTGATAGTGACAGTGATAGTGACAGTGATAGTGACAGTGATGGTGACAGTGATGGTGAGAGTAATGGTGACAGTGATAGTGACAGTGATGGTGACATTGATAGTGACAGTGATAGTGACAGTGATAGTGACAGTGATGGTGACAGTGATGGTGAGAGTAATGGTGACAGTGATAGTGACAGTGATTGTGACAATTTTAGAGTTAAATTTAAGCCAACTGTGTCAGGAGGCAGCAGGTGGTGTACACGGAAGCCCATAACATTATTTAATTATCCATAACTATAAATAATGTATAATTCTATCTCTACACACAGGTCTCTACCCAACCTGTGCTTCTCGTCTCTGGTATAATTGTTGGGTTAAATTCTGCAGCGTTTGTGGTAACGTTTTAGGCACTGTGTACACTAGCAGCTGCCATCTGCCTGTGTCCTCAACCTGTTGCCAACACACACACACACACACACACACACACACACACACACACACACACACACACACACACACATTGTCAATCAAGAGACCCATTCCCCAATTATGTAACTGTATATTTTCAGTCTTCCGGTTGTTATGCTCTTTCAGTAAACCGTTAATTATTATTATTATTACACAGATGTATCTTGCTTTAAACATTTTGTCCAGGTAAATAGACTTCTGTTTTACCTGCTTTACATTCTAAATCAGCAAGGTGAGTTTAGTAAATTAACGCCTCGTATCAAAGAAAACTGCCTGAGAGAAGAAGAAGAAGAAGAAGAAGAAGAAGAAGAAGACGAAGAAGAAGAAGAAGAAGAAGAAGAAGAAGAAGAAACCAGCAGCAGTAGGGAGAGGGAATGGAGGAGGAGGAGGACTAAGAAGAGGTAGAGGAGGAGAGACAGGTAGGGAGTGTAGCAGCAGCAACAGTAGGAAGAGTAGAAGTAGGAGGAAGAAGAGGAATAGGAAGAGGAGGAGAAAGAAGAGACAGGGAGGGGAGGGGGAGGCAGGGAGTGTAGCAGGAGGAAGAAGAGGAATAGGAAGAGGAGGAGGAAGAGACAGGGAGGGGAGGGGTAGGAAGGGAGCAGCACGGTTGGCTTGGTAACATTAGCCTGGAGGCCACTGACTCACTTCAATATTCTTGTGTGACATTTACTCCCGCCACACTCAAGCCATTACTAATGTCCGAACTCTTTCTAAGCCTTCCTCCCCCGTGTGAGAGAGTTCATGGTTGTTGATTGATGATGATGATGACGATGCTGATGATGATGATAACGGCAATGATAACGATGACAACAATAATAATGACTATGATAATTATAAAGACGATAATCAAACAATGACAAAAACAACAACAACGACAACAACTCGTAACAAAAAAGCCGACCTAAATAACGTTTTCTAACAACAACTACAGTACACGCTATTGTTTACCTTCCATGTAAACAAACAAGAGAGCATCATTAGCAGTGGTGGTAGTGATGATGGTGGTGGTGGTGATGGTGATGATGGTGGTGGTGATGAGGGTGGTGGTGATGGTAGTGATGGTGGATATGATAGGTATGGTGGTGGTGATGGTAGTGATGGTGGATATGGTGGGTATGGTGGTGGTGATGGTAGGGATGGTGGTGGTGGTGGGTGGTATGGTGGTGGTGGTGATGGTGGTGATGGTGGTGGTGATGGTGATGGTGGATAGTGGTGGGTGGTGGTGGTGGTGGTGGTGATGGTGAGGTATGGTGGTGATGGTGGTGGTGTGGTGGTGATGGTAGGTGGTGGTGGTGATGGTGGGAGGGATGGTGGTGGTGATGGTGGGATGGTGGTGATAGTGGTGGTGGTGATGGTGGGGTTGGTGGTGATGGTGGTATAGTGGTGGTGATGGTGGATGGTGGTGGTGATAGTGGTAGGGATGGTGATGGTAGGGATGGTGGGTGATGGGTGGTGATGGTGGTAGATGGAAGGTAATGGTGGTGGTGGTGATGGTAGGGATGGTGGTGGGTGATGGAGGGTGGTGGTGGTGGTGATGGTAGGGATGGTGGTGGTGGTGGTGGTGGTGATGGGATGGTGGTGGTGATGGGTGGTATAGGGTGGTGGGATGGTGGTGGTGATGTGGTATGGGATGGTGGTGGTGATGGTGGTGAGTGGATGGTGGTGGGTGGTATTGGTGGTGATGGGTGGTGATGGTATAGATGGTGGTGATGGTATGGTGGATGTGGTGGTGATGGTGGGATGATGATGGTGGTAGGTATGGTGGTGGTGATGGTAGGGATGGTAGTGGTGGTGATGGTGGTATGGTATAGTGGTGGTGGGTGATGGTGGGATGGTGGGTGGTGAGGTATGGTGGTGGTGATGGTAGGGATGGTGGGTGGTGGTGGTGATGGTGATGGTGGTGATGGTGGTAAGGTGGTGATGGTAGGGATGGTGGTATAGTGTGGTGATGGTAGATGGGTGGTAGGTATAGTGTGGGATGGTAGGTATAGTGGTGGTGATGGTGGTAGGTATAGTGGTGGTGATGGTGGTAGGGATGGTTGGTGGTGATGGTGGTAGGGATGGTGGTGGTGATAGTGGTAGGGATGGTAGGTATGGTGGTGGTGGTGGTGGTGGTGATGGTCAGCGATGCGTCAGCTGTTCCACTTTACCCTCCTCTCTCTCTCAACCATCATGGCCGTCACGGATGCTAACTCATCATAAATTCTATCTACTGGTGCTGTTGTTATTTTCAATTATTGAACTCAGGCAGAGAGAGAGAGAGAGAGAGAGAGAGAGAGAGAGAGAGAGAGAGAGAGAGAGAGAGAGAGAGAGAGAGAGAGAGAGAGAGAGAGAGAGCGCAGGCTAGGTTTTATAGCGTGTGTCTGTTCCACTTTACCATGTCAGTCTACCATCAGAGCTTTCACTGATGCCAAAAGCTAATGGTAGCGCGTGGATATATAGTGTATGCTGGTATATATTCTTTAATTAAATAACCGCTTACAGGACATACATACATACATACATACACTCGTACATACATACATATATATATATATATATATATATATATATATATATATATATATATATATATATATATATATATATATATATATATATATATATATATATATATATACCACTACTACTACTACTTTGCTGTTACTCGGAATCGAGTATGAATGACGATCATCCAGCTATAATACAATGATATGAGTTACTAAGGATGTCACCTACGTTGGTGAATGCTGAGGTGACAAAAGAGGCCGATACGAGACCAGAAGCGTCGTTCACAGATGTTGCACATGTGGTGGACTACATCTAGTGCGGGAGAGGCGGCGGAAGCGTCTTTCCGGCGATGGCGCTTGTCTGCCTCGTTATGCAATCGGGCTAACTCGAAAGTATTGACACCTTCTTGTGTGGTGCTCCTCCAAGCTTTACGATGTGGAATAATCGTCTCCCAGGTGAGGAGGTCGATTTGGCACTTTTTCTGGTTTGTCTTATACCTTATACCTTTTCAGTTTCCCGCCAGCGTTACGTTTACTATTCGATAGGTGACTGTAAAGTAGCTGCTTTGGCAGTCTACTGTCGTCCGTGCGGGTAACATGGCCAGTCCAACGTAGTTGTTCATGGATAATGGGAGCCTCGATGCTCCTACAGTTGGTGTCAGCAAGAATACTGGCATGTGTTCTCTTGTCTTCCCAGCGCACTCGGAGGATGGAACGTAGACTACGTTGGTGAAAGTTTTCAAGTGCCTTGAGGTGCCTCCTGTATGTGAACCATGTCTCACTGTCATATAGCAGAGTGGGGAGGACCACTGCTCGATATACGTGTTACTTTATAGATAATTTCAGCTCCCTACAGCTGAAGACACGGGAACAGAGTCTGCCAAAGGCTTGAGATGCATATCTGATTCGATGTTGAAACTCTTCATCAATGTCCGCAGTGGTGGACAGGTGGGAGCCGAGATACCGAAAATGGGTAACATTAGAGAAAGTAGTACCATTAAGCTGGATGGGTGGTGGAGGTGTGGTTGAACCAGGGGCAGGCGGAAAGAGAATCTGAGTCTTACATACATTCACTTCAAGGCCGAAATGTTCATACGCGTCTGCGTAGGTGTTCAGGATCTCCTGTAGGTTGTGTTCAGTGTGAGCAACAAGGGTGAGGTCGTCTGCATACTGAAGTTCAGTAATGGAAGCTGCTGACACCTTTGTTCCTGCCTGGAGTCGTCTTATGTTGAAAAGACCCTTCCTCCGGTATTCGATGTCCACCCGGCAGGATAAATTGGCACTGGCACGAGTAAGGAAGGCAGCCAAGAAAACTTGAGGTAGTAGGTAGTAGGCAGCTAAGAAACAGGGCGGTACTACCGCCTGGGAAGATACTGGAAGCAAAATGTATTGTCTAATGGTAGACCCTGCTGCTATATGGCATCACGAAAATTGTGACCAAGTCCCAGGTTGCTGATCTGTCTTTCTGCCTCAGTTACACACAATTACAGGGTCTCAATTGTTTCTCTTACTTGACAAAACAACGTACATATAGCATTTCTCACTTTTTTGTTATAGTTCTTTATTATTATTATTATTATTATTATTATTATTATTATTATTATTATTATTATTATTATTATTATTATGGTTATCATTATTATTTTATTTTACTTTTTATTGTAAATTTTATTTACTTTGAATAATTATTACATTTTCGCCCTCCAGGCCCGGGTGGTTTAATCCCATAAAAAAAGGGGAAAACTGAGTTGGTGCCAGTACACATCCTTGTTTTACCCCTGTTTGCTTAGGGAAGAACTCAGATTGGGTACCATTGTGCAGGAAATTGTCGTCCATGCCATCGTGGAGTTGCCTTACTATGGCGATGAATTCTGGTGAGTTGCTAAAACGGCTGAGGATTCGACGGAGGGCTTTCCTGTTAACCATGTCGAAAGCCATGGTTAGCTCGATGAAGGCCATGTACAGGTCACGACGCTGTTCTCCGCACTTTTCCAATGAATCTGGCGGGCAGCAAAGATCATGCCAGTGGTGCCACGTGATGGTCTAAAGCCACATTGATATTCTGGGAGGAAGTTTTCCGCCTCAGGAAGACGTCTGTTGAGGAGGACTCGGGTGTTAAGCTTGCCAGCTACGGACAGCAGCGAGATCCAGCAATAGTTGCCACAGTCTGACCGGTCTCCCTTGTTCTTATAAATATTGAAGATGGAGGCGTCTTTAAGAGCTTGGGGGATTTCCTCCTTTTCCCATATATTCTCCAGGAGAGAGTGGAGACAGCTGGTAAGCAGAGGTCCTCCTGCTTTATACACCTCGGCTGGGATTCCATCAGGCCCTGAGGCTTTGTTATTTTTCATCTGGTTGATGGCAGTAGCTACCTCAGCCAGGGATGGAGGATAGCTGAGGTGGGTCAGCTCTGGATGCTGAGGGATCTGGTGGGTAGTCAGGACATCCACGTCGGTGTTTCGGTTGAGCAGTGAATGGTAGTGCTCTTTCCAGCACTGAAGGAGGCCTCCATCGTCTTTAATTAGGGAGTCACCGTCGGATGAGTGGAGGGGGCTGCGCCACGAGTGATTGACCCATAAAATGTTTTAGTGGAATTGAAAAATTCGCACATCTTGTACTGATCTGCAAGTTTTTGTGTTTCACATGTTTTATTTTTAAGCCAGTCGTTCTTTAGATTGCGAAGTTCCCGCTGGGCTGCCGCTTTTTTCTTGCGGAAGGTATCAGCTTTGGTCCAAGACTGAGGGTTGTTCTGCCAGTCAGTTAAAGCAGCACGTTTATAATCAAAGAGTACATTGATTTCCGGGTCATTTCAGCAAACCAGTCCTGGTGTATTCTTTTGATCTGGCTGAGGGTCTCTGCAGATTTTTGTCATGACAGTATCGAGAATATCCCACTCGGCACTGGGATTTTGGTTGTTTATTGTTGGGTTGTTTATCAGCCCATGTTCGAGCTGCTCTCTGAAAGCATGTGCTACTGCTGGGTCCTCCAGACGCTTAGTGTTAAAACCTCTTTTGGAGACTTGTTGCCTTCGCCGTTTTGGGGCGACGTGAAGCTAAAGCTTGGCTCTGGCGAGCCGATGATCAGCCTCGCAGTGGTCTGAGCCACGCATGGCTCGGGTGATGAGGACATCCCGGCGATCTCTTTTTCTGACAATGATGTAATCAATGAGATGCCAGTGTTTGGATCGTGGGTGTTGCCACGAATCCTTGAACTTGTCGGCCTGCCTAAACAAGGCATTGGTGACAGTGAGGTTGTGTGCAGCACACTTGCTGAGGAGGAGTAGGCCATTGGGATTACACTTGCCTAGTCCATTTCTCTCTATGGTTCCCTGCAAATGTCACCTAGGAGCACAATCTTATCTTCTCAGGGGATAGAGGTTAGCACTCTGTCGAGGTCAGCATAAAAGGTTTCCTTGATGTCATCCTCTGCATCTAGTGTTGGGGCGTATGAACTGATGAAAAAGGCATGACGTGAGTGATTCAGTGGTACTCGAAGCGTTACACACACACACACACACACACACACACACACACACACACACACACTATGAAACAATATGTCATAAGAATTCCCCTGTTTTGAAAGAGGACAAACACTTTCCTGTGTTTTTCCTCCGAGAGTAAACAGTATTTTTTTTTCGTGTTTCATTAATTTCTCCAACTTTTCCTCTCGCAAAATAGAAATTCTTTATGAGGGAAAAACTGTTATCGTTAATTAAATACTATACTAGGGAGGTGTTACTGGGTGGGTGTTACCAGGGAGGTGTTACCGGGGAGGTGTTACCGGGGAGGTGTTACTTGGGAGATGTTACGAGGGAAATCTTTCTAGGAGCTGCATCTGAACGCTATATTAGGAAACTGTACCGGGACGTTATATTGTACTGGGGAGCTGTACCGGGAAGTTGCACTGGCAGGAAAACAACATTAAATAATATAACGGTACATACAAGATTCGATTACACACAGGTACCACAGAACGTACAAACAAACGTACACACACACACACACACACACACACCGACATACAAACGTACACACACACACACACCGACATACAAACAGACACACACCTACATACAACCATAGAAAACACTTACTAATTGTGCTGGTGGAGAGATAGAGAGAGAGAGAGAGAGAGAGAGAGAGAGAGAGAGAGAGAGTTTAAAAGCTGTTGCTCTATCTAATCTACAAAGACAATGACTACAGTACACAGCCACTCACAAGCGTTTCTTATAACACACACACACACCCACACACACACTTTCATCCGTCACCTAGAGTTCGCGCGTGTGTGTGTGGGTGTGTGTGTGTGTGTGTGTGTGTGTGTGTGTGTGTGTGTGTGTGTGTGTGTGTGCTTCTCTCCCTCTCACCGCGTTTGTTCCCTTGATTAAATCCCAGGTAAAAATAAAAAGAAAGTGAAAACGGAGGTAAGATAAAGATTGACAGAGAAATAAAATCAGCTTTTTAATGGAATGAGAGAGAGAGAGAGAGAGAGAGAGAGAGAGAGAGAGGAAAAATAAATATCTCTATGTTTCTCACACACTCCCTTCTTGTCATTATATTTCTCATCTCTCTCTCTCTCTCTCTCTCTCTAACACACACACAAGGAAAAACACAAAATGCATTAACCACATCTTATGGTTCAAACCCCTTCAAAAACATCGAACCAACGTCCTCAACCTATTCCCACGAGTGTCTCTCTAATCTCCCACCCACGGCCTTCATAGTTAAGTCTTTCTTGTTTCATCTCTCATTTTTCCTTTCACATATTGTTTCTCTGTCTCTATGTTTCTGTTCTCTCTCTGTCTATCACTGTCCTTTCCTGGTATTCTGTTTGCCTGTCGTCTCCCCACTCTTTCTCTTCGTTGTCTCTGTCTTTTTCTGACTTCTCTCTCGCTTTCTCATATTCTCTATCTTTCTCTTTGTCTCTCACTGTTTTTTATCTGTATTTCTGTCTTTCTTTTACTGTTTTCTCTATCTCTATATTATCTCTCTCAATTTCTATCTCTATCTCCCCTCATCTTTCCAAGGCTTTCTCCTTTTTCTCTCAAGACATTCTCTCAATCAAAACAATATGCTGTGGCTCCTCTTGTATCGGCAGGGTTATCAAAATCCTTCGTCCGTCGTGTCATAATGTCTCATGTAAATATGCTTTTCTTGACTGTGTGTACATCAACAATAATAATATCACTCCCTAAAACACTCTCAGATATCCTGCCTAACCTAACCTAACCAAAGCTAACCCACCTCAACACCCACCCACTCTCAGATATCCTGCCTAACCTAACCTAACCAAAGCTAACCCACCTCAACACCTACCCACTCTCAAATATCCTGCCTAACCTAACCTAACCAAAGCTAACCCACCTCAACACCCACCTACAATTATCTTGCTAACCTAACCTAACCTAACTATCAACCTTGCATAATCTAACCTAACCTAACCAAAGCTAACCCACCTCAACACCCACCCACCTCAGATATCTTGCATAATCTAACCTTAACCTAACCAAACCTAACCCACCTCAACACCCACCCACTCCTCAGATATCCTGCCCAACCCTAACCCTAACCAAAGCTAACCCACCTCAACACCCACCCACTCTCAGATATCTGCATAATCTAACCTAACCTAACCAAAGCTAACCCACCTAACACCCACCTACCTCAGATATCTTAATAATCTAATCTAACCCAAAGCTAACTCCACCCTCAACACCCACCCACTCTCATATCCTGCCTAACCTAACCTAACCAAACCTAACCCACCTCAACACCCACCCACTCTCAGATATCCTGCCTAACCTAACCTAACCAAACCTAACCCACCTCAACACCCACCCACTCTCAGATATCCTGCTTAACACGTATCTAGCCAGAGTATAAACAATATATTTCCGTGTCACTATTCGCAATCTCTATCCTCAGGAATGTTTGGCAGGTTGTACACTGGCGATGATCCGGGTCGTGTAATATATTAACAAGGACGCTCATCACACGCTAATTACATTCCGGTTACGTAAACACGACAATCAGCTGTTAAATACAAGCCCAAACAAATTCGTGATGTGACGAGATGTTCAGTGATAATGTCAAATGGGATAACTCTTTAACTTCAGTTTTAATGGGTACCAACCTAACCTAACCTAACCTAACCTAACCTAACCTAACCTAACCTAACCTAACCTAACCTAACCTAACCTAACCTCCGCTCTCCTTAGTTTTAATTGGCCCCAAATCATAATTGCGGCCAAGTTCAGTCGTAATGGGGTGTCGAATTGAATAGGCCTCAAGCGTAAAGAGGGCATATACCTTAATGACCCAATAGGCACAACTCCTAATGGACCCTCGTCTCAATAAACACTAATCCTAATGGCTCCTAATCCATTAATGGGATAAATATGGCTGACGAGAACCCAGAAAAATAAGTTTCCAGAATCATTTGACCTCTGACCTCACAAAATCCGTCAACAGGTCAAAATAGAAACAGTGAAAAATACAAGTCTGTGTGTGCTGCCAATTTCAGGATTAATTGACCTAGAGTTGAAGTGGATTACAAATTAATTACTAATTCTTTGTAAGTGTTGGAGAAAGGTATCATCCGGTTACCTTTTAAATTAATTCGTCCTGATTATAGGTGAATGACAAATTTGATCTATACAAGGTTACGACAAGTACACATAAAGCCAATACGAACATTGTTGACCAAGAAGTGGTTATTGTCTAAGTCCCTTTAGTGCAACACAGAGCTATCAGTCAAGTCAGCAGAGGAGGAAATGGTGACATGTTAAATATATCAATTATTTTATCACTTTCAACTTAATAATATGAGTCTGTTCATTAATTATTATTATTATCATTATTATTATTATAGTGAGCAGAATCATGGATACATGGTGTAAGTAATAAGAGTGCAGAGGTCTTATTGTAACTATATCT